ATAATGCGTTAAAAATTCCCTTTCTCCGCAGTTTGCGCTGATAGCCTAGGGGTGAAATCGGTCGAATTTCGATCCGGAAAGCAACTGCGTGTCTAGCCACATTGAAGAGCTGGTGTTAATCAAACAGTGCTCGATGTAGTACAAGAGAGATAATAAATATATATATATTTATATATCCTTCACCGATAGAACGGCTTGGAGTTTCGAGCACAACGCAGTCTTCAGGCGCTGAGTATATTTGTGCTTTACGTAATTTCAATTTAAACAAATATCTGGTTAAACAAAATTTAAATTTAAGCAGATATCTGGTTATCGCCGTGTTGGCACAGTTATATATTATACTGGGATTAGTTTTTTTTTAATTTTAAAAATTAAATTTTGCATTGAAAATAAACAGGATTTTTGAGTTGAGAATATTAATTTTTAAAAATGTTTATATTAAGCATAAATGGAGATTATTTCTTTTAAAAATAAAAACATAATTTACACGCACACGTTCACACACACACACACACACACACACATATATATATATATATATGTATGCATACATACATATAAATATATATATATATATATATATATATATTATATATCTAAAAAACAGAAGATGTATGTGTGTGTGTCTGTGTGTGTGTAGGCTATTTATGCCCGTCCAAATTTCTCGACCGATTTCGATGAAATTGTACACACATGTTGCAAATTTACTAACGTAGATCAAAACAAACTTTTTAATCTCCAGACCCCCCGGGTTTGGCAGAAAAGTCGATAAAACTGAAAGTGGGTACGACTTTTTGCCAAAAAATAAGGCAAAGTTACCCACGAACATAATATTTTTACTGGATGAGCTGATATTCTTTGCACTTAATGCAAAACATATCTCATGTTATGAGTTTTATGTAGAGTGCTTGAAACTTTCCCTGTGACTGATATACATATAATTATAATATATCGCACATGTTGCATTAAACTCCGGATGGTGCTATCCGTGAGGGATAAATATATATATATATATATATATATATATATATATATAAAGAGACAAACAAACGACAGACATTGTAACAAATAGATTTTTACTTGCCGTGTCCATCCAGAATATAGGCGATCATGGCTCTTCATTGATTACTTTTTCGTAATTATCTGTGAATTTCCCTGAATGCAAATATACAAATACGAACAGGTTGTCATGTATATATATAAGTATACGATCAATATATATATATATATATATATATATATATATATATATATATATATATATATATATATGAATGAGAGGATATATATATATATATATATATATATATATATATATATATATATATATATATATAGGGGATTAGTATATATATATATATATATATATATATATATATATATATATATATATATATATATATATATATATATATTAGTGGAAAATATACATACATTACATGTATGGGTATTTATATATAAAACAACCGTCAACATTCATTTTTTTCTCTTAATTAAACCCCTTCCACCCACCTCTCCTAAAATTCTCTCTGTTAAGGTTTAATCTCCCTCCTCCTCATACTCACTCTCTCTCTAAATTCTGTTTTTATTTCCGGAGTGGGTTTTTTTTCTTTTTTTTTTGAATTTGTAGGTCTGATGATTTGGATCGTATTTACGATTCCAATGGAATAAATTATGACCATGGAATATTAGTGTTTAAGCCTTTTATTATATATATATATATATATATATATATATATATATATATATATATATATATATATATATATATATATATATATATATATAAAAGTGAAATTTTAAGTCAACAGATTTTAATATATTTAGATAGATATATATAGAGGTAGATTAAAAAAAATCAATTACATAGCTAGATCGATTTTAACAAATTTAGATAGATAGAAAGACAGATAGATAGATTTTAACAGATTTAGGTAGCTAAATCAGTTTTGAAAGGCAATTTTTATCATACTTCTTCATGTTGGGACACCTCAACGTAGGCTAATGTTTAGCAATCTTGTTTCGCTAGAACAATTGCGACTGAGTAGTGGGTTCGATCTTCACAGGTTACCCGATATTTTCGGTCTTGTGCTACGCTTAGAAAATCACTATTTATTTAGATTGATTTTAACAGACTTAGAGAGATAAATGCAAAGATATGTAGATTTTAACAGATTTAGTTAGTTAAGTCTATTTTGACAGATATAGAGATAATTTTTAACATATTTATTTAGATCGATTTGAACAGATTTAGATCGATAGACACATATATCTATTTTAACAGATTTATATCAGTCAGTTATGTGCCATGCGTGATACACCCTTAGGTGATCATGTATCTTTCGATATATGAGTGACGAGGTAGATTTTTCCCGCAGTATGTTACCATTTCTTTCTACGGTAGACCAGTTGCCTTACAAGGCTATAGAACCCGGTCTGTCCTGCTATTTACCCAAAGCTAGGGGTGGGGGAGAAGAATAGGATTCATACCTTTCCCAAGGGTATTAGCACGTAGGTGAATGCAATGGATTCGACTGGAATTCGAACTCGGTTTTCCGATTCCTTAATCCGAGCTGCTATCCATAACTCCAGATATAGATAGATCGATTTTAGCGATTTTAGCAGATATCGTTAGATAGACAGATATATCTATATATAAAATTATGTGACTTCTGTTAATCTGTCCATCCGTTACACCCTTTAGAATAGTCATACATTGACTAACCGAAACCAAATTTTAGGGAAGCATGTAAGTGGGTACAGATTACAGTTGGTTTTACTAGGATGCGTAGCTTAGTACAATATATTTTCATTATTTGTTTGAAAAAAAATAATATTACCTCGTTATAAAAACAATTTAATGATTAAAATAAGGAATAGTCATTTAATAAAAATGTAATATTTTTTCACCTCTTTTAAGTTATATATATATATATATATATATATATACATATATATATAAAAGGCAGGGTGTGTGTAACGAATGCACGGGCGCAATTTTCGACGGATTTGCACCAAAATTTACATGCACATGTTCCAAGTAAGCGGGAAGGCCAATACCGACTTTGCATTTCCCAACTCCCATCGATAGTGGAAATAATCTATTTTTTCATGCTCCTACGGCAGTTTTCATGTAGTTTGCGGCCATTTTGTACTAGCCAGAGTGAGAGCCTATAGCTGGCCGCCACGAATTGGCCAGCGTGAGAGCCAACAGCTGAATGACACGAATGTTAACTAGCATGCTAGCATGCAAAAATAATCAATTTATACAACCATGCTAAGCATCTTTATAGATCGCATCTCCTATAGAGATCGCATCACAAAAACTGTAGATGGTAAGAACCTGGCAACTAATATTTCCCCTGACCTAGCTGTAAGAGCTTAGTGGACAAAAAACTGCCTGGTCACATTCAATGCCCTGAAAAGCAAGCTAGTATTTTTCCATCATCATCGAGCGGACCGTGAATTTTCGCTTATCACGATGAATGGCTGTCCTTTCAGCTAGGCCACGCACCTTGAGCGCCAGTTGAGACTTAAGCTCAAGCTTAAACCAAGACCTCAAGCGGAAATCGTCACCAAAGGTGCCCGGTTCCCGGTACCGCTTCAGTAAGTCTCTGAACCCTCTTCGTACCCTCTACTTCTACAAGAGCCTGATCAAACCGAAAATGAAGCACTGCTGCCATATATGAGCAGAAGCTGTTTAATATTATCTTTCACGTCTCGATAGAGTCCGAAAGCGTCTCCTCGCCCTTATGGGTGACATATTATTTTCCACCCTAAGACTTCTCTCCTACAGACGAAACTTTGCATGCCGTTCGCTACTCTATCGCTATTTCCATGGAAAGTGTTCAGCTGAGTTCCATTTCTTAGTTCAACCAGTTCCAACCCTCACGGCTAAGACTCACTATGCTAGACACACTGTAGCCGATCACCCTCATTTTCTTCGTGTTCCTTTGATGAGATGTAAGTTCCATTCGAGAAGCTTCTTACCGCGAACTGCTGCTTTGTGAAACCGAATTCCAAGAGGATACTTTTCCGCTCATTACAAACGTAACTTATTCATGTGTAGGATTAAATGTTATCTTCTCCACATTTCCCCAGAAACTGTTTCTTGTACACCGTAAGTCTCTACAACGAGAGGCTCTTGTGCCTTTTAAGAAATGGCCATGTCAAAAGAGCCGACAATCTTTACAGTACCATCCTACAGTGTTCCGCCTTAGGCAAAAGAAGAAGCAGGCAGAATAAAAATGATCTGACAACGTAACTTTCGTGGACTGGAAGATTCTTCGCAGACATTGGTAAGGGTTAGACATATGGAGGAAGCTGGTCAGGTACTCTGATGTACAGTGATCCTAAGACCACATTTATCGGACTGAGGGGGGGCAGCTGCTACTGATTTTAGACTGATATAAATCCACAATCATGCACTTCGACGCGGTGTAATGGTTAGCAAGCTTGTCTCGCTAGATCAGTTAGGAATGAGTAGTGAGTCCGGTTCTTCACTGGGTGTCCCATATTTTCGGCCTTGTGCCACATCTAAGCTACGCTTAGAAATCCACCATAAAACAACAATTGCAGAGCACTCAATGAGAATCGAACACACCATTCGAGATAAACCTGATAAACATTACGCCACGGGAGGTGTCATTTAAGCATTTATTAGACATAACTAACTCTGGTACAGAGTATTAAAAATTAGGCATTTGTAAAGTCTTAACTCACTTCTCTATCAGATTAGTTTGCTAATCACCGCTCAAGGCTATGTGGCCAGTAGATTAGACAGGCCCGTATTATCTTTTGTTCCGAAAATGAGATTTCTTATGCAAGAATTCGATTAAGGTTCGCCAAATATTACGAGTGATAACTATTTACCAATGTATGAATCAGCTTCAACATTGTTTGGCGCATGGCCAGAATAGAGGAGCACCTGGTGAGAAATAGTGGCAATGGCGAGCAAGATAAAGCCACCGTCCGGACAAGGTATATAAATATAATAAATAATGAAACATCAAATTTATAAAGATTTCCCAAATCTATCTATCTATCTATCACGGTCTGTTCATGTCTATATTTCCCTGTTCATATCTATCTATCTATCTATCTATCTATCTATCTATCTGAGTCTGCTCATTTTTATCCGAGTCTATTCACATCTATCTATGTATCTACAAATTTATAAATCAATCTCTCTCTCTCTCTCTCTCTCTCTCTCTATCAATCTATCTATCTATCTACAAATTTGTGAGCAAACAGGTAAATCACGCTCAGTTGTATGTAGAGATATACGTAATTCCATACGTTAGTTCGTGTGTATGACTGTACCAGATATGTCGGTTATGTAAGGAATTCTAAAGAGATATCTATACTCATAATTACTTGTGTAAAAAAGAGAATTACATAGAAAATGCATTTCGTTGCTTGAGTAGGCAAATACCTTGTATCTACTGACCAGTCAGTTGCCAAAATGTTGAATGGTTTGTATTTCTGCTAGTAGATACCGACATGCAGTGAATATCACTAATGAACTAGTTGGGTCATCATTCGAATTTCACAGACTGATTTGAAAGTATTCCAGAGACCTTTGATTGGCTGTTTCAATCGCGGACATGTTGCGTGACAGCCAATGTGAGACTGCTAGTGGAATAGAAAGCATTATAAAGTTGCTAATCGAACATTCGCTAATGATCAAAGCTAGAATATTGTTAGAATAAATAATATATATAAATTATCGCTTTCTATCCGTCTATGACGCTCACTCTTTCCCTCTCTTTCTAAACACAAGCACATAAACATATAAATCATCTGAGAGACGCAACACATGATGTATGTAACAATGCATATATGCATGTATAAGATATATATATATATATATATATATATATATATATATATGTGTGTGTGTGTGTGTGTGTGTGTAAAATTGCGCCTAGCAGGAAACAGCCTGTCGCCTCTGAGAGTTGACTTCAATGTTCATTTTGTATTTATATTTATATACGCTCTGTCTCTGATATTGAGCACTTTATCTCATAAATATAGCACACCTTAAAAAGTATATTTCTTCATACATATATATATATATATATATATATATATATATATATATATATATATAAAGGAAAATCTTAAAACATCATCAAAAATTCGGTAATAAATTTATTTCGACAGATAAGTTTTTAATATCCGCCTCATCAAACCGTAATTACAAAATGGTTTAAATTTATCCAGACAATATATTAAAATTATTTTAAAATTAAATCACAAAGGGGACAGGCAATAAATATCTAAATTACTTGACGTAGAAAATTTTTTTCTGGGGACTTACATTATCGAAGAGTGTAGTGGGAGAAAGAAAAAAAAGAAAAGGTGTCAACACAATCAGGAGAAGGAAGTACAAGTGACAGCTAGTGAAATACATTGAAATTAAATCAAAATTTATATCGTCATCATCTAATTTATGTCAGTATGAAACACTAATCATCATATATATAAAACATTTTTAAAATAATTTATATTTCGGTCTGATGAGGCATATATTAAAATATTATCTGTCGAAATAAACTTATTACCTAATTTTTTGATGATGTGTTAAGTTTTTTTCCTAATTGATGTATATCATATTGCACTGCATATAATACACTGAGCTCTCTTCATGGATCTAGCTTTTTAATATTTCACATTAAAAAGACCAACTTGGATTATCAGGACCATTTACGGATATGATATTACTGAGTAGGCACACTGTTCGTTTATTAAACATGTTAATTTTCGTCTACCGACCTGAATATAAAATAAATAAATTTAGTGTTTAATAAATACTCAAATATGGTTATCCACTAAAAATAACGCTTAATAATAAAATCTGTCAGATTAATAAATTAAAAAAATCATTACTTCTTTAGAACTATATATATATATATATATATATATAAATATATATAATTATTTATTTAAAAATATGATTCCAAATCGCTACATAAGAGGTCTCATGTTTCAAAACTAGAGCCGAAAACTTCAATATAATCCTTTAAATTAAATTGAGTTGAAAAGTAAAATGGGCTCCGTTCCATCCTCAAGCGAAATTTTTGTTGGAATAACGTATATCTGAAATTTACTTGTTTTAAAATTGAAATCAAAATCCCCATGGTAACAGCTATGGTGAATTTTCTAAATTGGGTAGGCGAGTGTAGGGTGTTTATATGAAGTAGCGGTATAGAGATACTTTCAAGGTGTCAAGTCGGGGAAAGGTGGGGGTGTCAAAAATGAAACGGAAGATGTATCTAGTTTGCTTGTCTATGGAGATTTATTTATTTATTTTATTTTATTTTATTATGAAAGGGAATTGTGCATATAAAAAAAAAAAAGAAAAACTTCGTAACGTTTGTTTTTTGACGACTTCATAAAGGGTTATCTTATATGTAAGGTATTTAAACTACTAATTTAGGCTATGGATTATGAAGTGTGTTATGTAGTATGCATGTTTGTAGTTAATTATTCCTACTATGAATCTGATGATTGGGCTATTTGTTAAACAAGTTATATAAATTTTTTTATCTAATAATTCAAACCAAAAATCTGATGTTGCCTACAAAAAACCGTTAACTCGTGTCTATTATTTAATAGATTATTATTATTTAGAAGTTTAATGATGTGCAATTTTTCATGGAGGCACAAAGGGCATGGGTCATCCCAAACTTTACATATTCTAGCATTGTCAATAATTTTCCATTTAACTTTTGGTGTCTTATTTGTTTCCTTCAGGTGCCAAAAATATTTTGATAGTGAAGTCTGATTTCGTTTGTTTATATTATTAAAAGAGCACTTATGCTGTATCGAGCACCATTTTTGAAAAATAATAACTAAAATACTAAGGGACTTTGGATTATTTACCTAACCAGTTCCTTCCTATTTTCTATATTTTCATACACACACACACACACACACACACACACACACACACACACACACACACACACACATATATATATATATATATATATATATATATATGTATGTATTAATTCAATTTAAATAGAAAACAGACAACCATAAGGGTTCATTGGTATGTATATATATCACGGATATTGAACACTTTCCACTAAATACTGCGCATATATATATATATATATATATATATATATATATATATATATATATATATATATATATATATGTGTGTGTGTGTGTGTTTGTCCAATAGTACTTACATATTCAGTATATCTAATACTGAATATGCGCATAGATATATATAGACCAATGTGAACGCAAGTAGAATCACACATTTATCACTTTTGTTCATCAGTCTGTAAATACTCTCAGGCAATATATTATATATCTATGCATCTATGTTCATCGCCCTTAGTTAATTCATTATCTATCTATCTATCTATCTATCTATCTATCTATCTATATATATATATATATATATATATTCATCTATCTATCTATCTATCTATCTATCTATCTATCTATCTATCTATCTATCTATCTATGTTCATCTCCCACAGGCAATTCATCTATCTATCTATCTATCTATCTATCTATGTTCATCTCTCACAGGCAATCTATCTATCTATCTATCTATCTATCTATGTTCATCTCTCACAGGCAATTCATCTATCTATCTATCTATCTATCTATCTATCTATCTATCTATCTATCTATCTATCTATCTATCTATCTATCCGGAGTATTTTATCAAGCTAAAGCTGTGCGCGTCCCTTTGTCTGCCTCTATGTATTCTTGTCTGTTCATCTATGGATGAAGAAATTACTCAACACGCATCTTGGTTCCCTCACACGCACAGGTATATTTGTGTAAAATAAACTCTTTATATGTGTGCACGCGTGTGTAAGCACAAGAAATAGGTGCTTATAAGTATAGGCCATTTGATGAGACCTGAAATTATCTACTTGAATCTCTTTTAAGTTCAACCATCAAAATCTTCTCATCATTCATTGAAACAAGCTGAAAGCCTTTCTGTTTGCGTTAAGAATTTTTTCTCATATGTTTCTAAATTTTATTTTATTTTTTGCCTTTTACATATTTATAATTCCACAGATGCCCCCAATCAAAAACTATTGAGAGATATTTCTCTATAAATGTTCAGCGGTTTATATTTGTAGTTGAAATATAATGCAAACCTAATTTTGTTTATATTGAACGTTGAATTACGATGGGGGCGGGGGGCATTGGAGTGGCGAAAGGTGAATAAACGACAACCTAATGATATACGTGGTCGGTGTTTGGAAATTGATATCTGATATTTATATTACTGACTCCATCTATATCTGTAGACATTCCATCGACGATTATACAAGAATCTCTTATGAATTTACTGACAGGTACTTTCTATCACAATTGGAATATGTAACATGTAAATATTAATTGAGATGGATATTAATGAAGAACAATGTCCTAACTGCTAGAACGGTAAACTTCCGGCCATTCTTGATAAAATTCAAATAATAATAATAATAATAATAATAAGTATTATTATTATTATTATTATTAGTAGTAGTAGTAGTTGTAATGCTAGTATTATTTACTGTCACATAATCAATGCAGGTTCTGTGGAAAATATGATGAAACTGTTGACCATATTATCTCAGGATGTCCGGAGCTAACAAAAAATGAATATACCCACAGACATAACAAGATAGTGATATATGTCCACTGGAAGTTATGCAAGGAGCACAAAATCGAAACTACTGAGAGATGATATGAGCACCAATCAGACACGGTTACCCAAAATAACGATGTAACTATCCATGAAAATTATCGAGAAATTGTCCAAATACAAGAACCTGGAGGTCAACATTAACAGGATTTGTGGCTACAAAGGATACAAAGCAGGAAACAACATACACAAATAATAATAATAATAATAATAATAATATCTCAGAAATCTCAAGAATGTGGCACACGGGAACATCAACAATCCCTTTTGTAATTGGAGCGCTTGGATTGGTTGGAAAAAAGATTCTCGTAAACTCAGTGAAGAGATTTCTGGGAGCTCATGCCTTAAAGAAATACAAAACACGAGTACAGCCCACGCCTTACAAAGGGTTTTATCTATGTAAAATATGTGTGTATGTTTTTTTTTTCTTTTTTTAATTGGTCAGTGGAAAATGTCATAATGCCATTTCTGACTTAAGATATCTGGGCTGGGCCCGGAAAGAAATGTGTACACACCAGAAATCAAAGGAAATAAAATAATAATAATAATAATAATAATAATAATAATAATAATAATAATAAACAGGCAATTTTTTCTTTCGTTCCGATCAGAAGACGCCAACGTAGCAAACAGAAATTAATGACTTTAAAATAAAAGTCATTAAAAGTTTTGTCATTCTGGCCAGAAGAGGCCAGCCTTAAGACATGAAGGCAAAATGCATTGTCAGTAAAAAAAAAAAAACTCTTTTCCCCTGTGTCTGAGTCCTACACTTCCGTTCGGAAATTATAACCTATTAATACGCATATAACGTGTGTGTAGTAACAAGAAATAATGTCAGATTCTAATAAAATTCTATCTATCTATCTATCCACACACACACACACACACACACACACACACACACACACACATATATATATATATATATATATATATATATATATAAAATAAATAAAAAGAAAGAACAGTAATATATATCCGGTGTTCTTATAGATATTTTTATTTTTAGAAAATAGTGCTCAATGTAAATTTACAGAGCATATATTTATATATATATATATATATATATATATATATATATATATATATATATATACACACACACAAACATATATATATATATATGTTAAGAAATATACATAATATCTGGAATTGTTATATATATATATATATATATATATGATATGAATGGATTAAAGAATCTATAGATGCTTTATCCGACACTGGTTTCCTTAGTTATTTTGTTGATACCCACGTTTGAGACGACGTCCCTTTTTTACAGTGTCTATTACGTCTACCGGGCTGCTCAATCGAGATTCACACGGTTTTAAAAAAGGGTAGGACGTTTCCTCAAATATGCTTATCTACAAAATAACGTTTAGTAAGATATATATATATATATATATATATATATATATATAAGTCACTTTCCCACCACCGAATGGTTGCCTCTGTGTGTCTTTCTTATAATTCAATCTTTTTTATATTCATGCTAATTGTACGGATCAGCTCTTTGCTATGGTACCTAGACTTTTTGAATTTAAGCGCAGTACTTAACTGGCGTCGAGATCTCACCAGTTTACATTTGGGCTGGCTAGATGTAGCCGTAAGTTCTATGCTAGTAGTTTATTTTCTCACACTTCTCACTTGTGGAAATCTCTTCCGGCTACATGATTTCCAGCTAACTTTAATGAGCAAAAATTTAAATGCAATGACAATCGCTATCTAATGTTCTCCTGATTACTCTTTTCACTTCCAGCTCATTATTAAAGTTTCTTTTCCTAATCCTCCCATTTCCACACTCTGTAACTCTTTGTGGCTTTACTGCCTTGCATGGGGTGATACACTTTAAATATATTTAAAATTAAATAAAAGAATCTATGGATTCTTTATACGGATCTATTTCCGACGACAATATTTTGTGGGTAGGCATGTCTGAGAAGACGCCTTTATATATATATATATATATATATATATATATATATATATATATATATGAATAAAATAGACCACTTTAATGTTCCATGTAATAAATTATTTCGCCACAGCCCTTTTAAAGGGCTCTGGATCATCAGACTTTACTTCCAAAAGTTGAAATGAACATTTTGACAGGCCATATTAAGCATATGTAAATTAACGAAGTGAGGGGGAGAGAAGATTTATATATATATATATATATATATATATATATATATATATATATATATATATATATATATATATATATATATATATATATATATATATATATATATATATATATATATATATATATATATATATTTCTGTTTATACGCCATTTTTATTAGATACAATTTATTTAAATACTCTGTATTTTTTTTTAAATAAACAGTATTTTACCGGCCTGAATTTTCGAGAAAATTCGTAGGCAAGAATCGAACCTGTGTTCTATACGAAACCGTCAACTGATCTGACGTGCTACAAAGAAAGCGTCTGGTTATCAAAATCCAAATTCTTGTTTATAAACGACAAATCTTCGACAATCTTTCCCGAAAGATCATTTCTGCTCACGAAACGTACCTTAACGTAAAAATTGACAGCATATTACTGTTTATAAACAACAAATCTTCGACGTTTTCTTTGTAGCTGTGTTGTATAGCACGTCAGATCATATTTTCTACGAAATTTCCTCGAACATTCACTATATATATATATATATATATATATATATATATATATATATAAAAAAAAGAAGAAATACTGACAATAATATAGTAACTATTCTTTTTACAATAATGTTCATCTTCTACAAGGCCTGTGATCCACTCGAAGTAGAGGGTTACAGAATAAAAGGAATAGTTTATGTGGATATGTGGGGAAGATAACAGTTAACCCTAGACTTGAACAGGTTAAGATTGTTGTGATTGGGGAAGCATTCTCTTGGGAGCCGTTTCTACAAAATGGCGGTTCGTGGAAAGAAGCTGCTTGAGAGATACTTACCAATGGACTACGAAGGTATTGCGGGTGATTCGCCACAATGTACATGTCTTGGCGAGTCTTAGCCGTGGAGGTATGAACTGGTGGAACTAAGGAATGTAGTTCGTCTGAGCACTTTTTATGGGAATAGTGATAGAGCAGCGAGAGGCTTGCGTCTTCGTCTACGAGAAAGTGATTGTAGGCTGGGCAATTATTTGTCCTCTGCCTAACAAAGACGCGGAGACTTGTGTAGATTAAAAGTGAATAGCTCCTGTCCATATATGGTAGAAGTAGTCCATTTTCTGCCTGAGCTGTTTCTTGTAATGGAAGAGGATAGCGGGAAAAGTCTGAAGCAGTACGGGGAATAAACCATTTTTTAGGCATCTTTAGCGATGGATCATCCCGAGTTCTGGGTTGAGTTTAAGTCCTAATGGAGGCTGAAAGCACAGGGCTTCCCTGAGGGTGCATCCGTTCATCGCGATTGGTGTGAATTCTGCGTCCAGTCGGCGATGATGTAATGTCATTAGTTAGTTTTTGAGGCATTGTATGTGACTAATCAGTTTTTGCTCCATTGAACTGTTTGTGGTAGATCAGAGGAAAGATCAGTTCTGGTTAACAATATGATACTCTTAATAAAAAAAAGAACATCATTTTAGGTTTGAACAAAAGATTTCAGAACATTTTTCAAAATTAAATTCTTTTTTGAAAGTCATGTCCCTTCAGTACTTAAACGATCATGTTCCTTCATAGATTACTTTTCTTTATGATCTGTGAATTGCCATAACTCTTGGGGATGTTATTGGAGCGTTTTTCCACGGTTTTTGAATTTGTATTATTCCCTCTCCTAGACACTCTATAGCTCAGCCTACATTGCTACCTTAACTCATAGAAGAAGAAATGAATTCATGCCATGGGGATTAAATACACTATACGGAGGAAAGAGGGCTTGGAGAATTTGATACTAACATGAGAGATTAAAGTTAAGAGGGGCAGAGGAATATCAGTAGTATTACGTCAAAAACCCTACCCACAATTTCTTGGTAACCTTAGAAAACTGATTGAGACATTTTCTTTCAAATAGTTTTTATTTTCCCGAGTACTAACCTTTTTAACTTTTACGCACCTAATAGTAATGCATTGTTACCTTATTTGCTTCAGCTGGGAAAGGTTACAAATTTCCTTCACTATATTTTGGAGGTGTTCTTGTAGTTTTCTTTCAATGAGCAGATCTGTAAAAACACGAAGAGAAAAGACAGAAAAGGAAATAAAAATATCTAGAAATCACTGAATTGATCAATAAGTGGAGATATTTACTTGAAAAGTAAGTAAACTACTTCCATTTAATCACCACAGAGAAACTTTTCTGTCCACTATAACGATGGCTAATGCTGAACTCCAGGAGAACAACCCTATCGACTTGTTGGCTTCACGTTTTCCGCTGACATGAATTGAGCAACTACATCAAGTCCCCTGCTACATCTGCTGCAAGGAAGGTTGGTTCACAGTGCTATGACAAAATATTTTTCACATTGTTGTAGAGTAGTTTTCACAGTGGAGGCTTGTATTTCAATAAGTCGTCCTAAATTAGGTTCGACGTACAAACCGTTAGGATCTTGGAAATAAGAGTTAATGACGCAGCAATCTAGTTGTGATGGTTGGTACTTCAATGTCCGATATCGACTGACTCGCTCAACACCACTGAGCCGAAACTGGCACCTGCTACTACTAATTATTATCTGTGGGAGAGTCCATTACAAAAGAATAGGTACTATAACACACAGCAGAATCCATCTTGCACATTTATAAATCTACCATTCTTCTGTTGCTAAATCTGGTTTGCTGTTCCTACTGTGCATCTCGAGGTACTTGACAAAATTTAGAAAAGGGTCTGCATTACAATCGATCCTAGCCGGTCTTCTCGTAACGTGACTTCCTCTGCCTCTTCTACAGATACTTTCATGATATCAACTAGAACGAACTTTTTTTCCTTGATGCCTCGACTACAGGAATTTAAGCGCCCGACTAGATTGGCAACAACTCTTCAACTAGCGAGATGCAACTGTCATTTCTGCATTGACAATTTTTTTCTCACACTTCCCACCTGTGGGACTCCCTTCCAATTTCTTGCTTCCCTGATAACTACAGTTTTCAAATATTTAAATGCAACGTCAATCGCTATCTTCTGTCTTTTTGAAGCCTGTTCTTTTTTTCTTTTTTTTTTTTGGCCATTTTCTCAATTTTCCCCATTTTTCATTCTCCTCGTTCTCATCCACATTTACTCCCTGTAACCCACTGCGCCCTAGTGACATTATCGCCTTGCTAGGGGTGAAATAATTAAAAAAAGAACAAAAGCAATGAAAGACAGCATATTCTTAGGAAAAAATACACGCATTTTTATTAATAGCAAATTCAACGCTATTGTTACTGATAAATTTAACTTGAAGATGCACGAAGAAAATAAGGTTTTGCCAAAGTCTTCCGTATTTTGAGATTACTCGTTATATATGCGTTCGTCCACCAAATAAAATTAATGGCTAGGGAAATAATAATAAACCCAAAATTTTAATGGGCGTGAATATAGTCTGTCGTTAATTATACTACTACGAACACTAATAAATATATCGTAGTCACTAGCATAAGATTTTGTCTAATACGAACACTAATAAATATATCGTAATCACTGGAATGAGAATTTCTTCAAAGAGAAATGCTTCACCTCGTGTAAATCTCAAGATGGTAAAAATATCATTTAGGAGAATTATAATGAGTGTTCTAAATTTAAATGACTGAATTGATGCAACTGAAGATATCATATTTAAGCAATGGAGAAGAGACCTTACTGAATATGTAAATGCATGCTAATTGCCCCAGTAGCTAAACAAAATGAATAAACAGACGACACAAATCTACACCAGATGAGCAATAACGACTAACCCGTAAAGAATAATACAGTTATCTTATTCTTCTATATGCCATGTCCGTTCAGGACGTTGGCGATCATGGCTCTCCACAATTTCCTTTTATCCGTAGCTTTTACTTACTATTGACTTTTTGTTATCTTCCCTAAAAGCTGTTGCGCCACCCATTTACCCAAGTTCGCTATGTAAGTTATGCGTTGATTTCCTCTCTCCCTCTTAACTTTAATCTCTCATGTTAGTATCAAAATTTCCAAGCCCTCTTTCCTCCCTATATATTTCAACTGTTTCTTCCTGATGTTAAAAGTACTTTCCGTTTACATTGTCTCTAAAAATTCTTCATTACTCACATGTTCGGTCTATCGTATTCTCAGCATCCTTCTGCAGAGCCACATTTTTCTTGCTTCAAGTCTCTTCTTCATCTGAGAATATTTGCTGCCACATAGGAGAACTGATATTACATAACTGTCCAGTAGTTTTTTTTTTTTTTGTTTCTTTCCAACGAAATATAAATATATATATATATATATATATATATATATATATATATATATATATATATGTATATGAATAAAACAGACCACTTTAATGTTCCATGTAATAAATTATTTCGCCACAGCCCTTTTAAAGGGCTCTGGATCATCAGACTTTACTTCCAAAGGTTGAGATGAAAAATGAAAAGAAATTTACACATTTTTGACGGGCCGTATTAAGCATATGTAAATTAACGAAGTGAGGAAGTGAGGGGGGAGAGAAGATATATATATATATTTACTTTCCAGATATTTAAGATGTACTTGTTTGATTTTCGTATCTCCAATTTGTCATTTGCATGTTAGGTTGTTACTTTTGCTAACAACCATGCATTCTCTCCTTGATTTCCTTCACTATATTTTGGAGGTGTTCGTGTAGTTTCCTTTCTACGTCTGCTATCAACACTGTGTTGTCTCTGCATATTTTATGTTAAGATTGTGGTCGCCAATAATGAATCCAGAGAGGACTTCCAATTCTCACAGGATTTTCTAAATCTGATGAGAAGACTCATCTTGGTCTTACACCCCTTTATTGGATTCTTTTAAACCAAAACCCGCTTGAACAAAGATTCAAATGGTCAATGGTATTCAAGCATTCTTCTGTAGAGTGATATTTCTGTTGTTTCAAGTTTCTTTTTTATCTGGGAGGATATTGCTGATTATTGCTGATAAAAGGTATGTGGGCATAAAATTCTGTTTTTCTTTTTCTTCTTTTTATGTAGCATTTTTTTTTCTTTCGGGACACGGGCGATCATGGCTCTCCAAAACATCCTGTACTTTGTAGATCTTAGCAATATTTACCTTTTTACTGATATTTCGACTTTCTGTTTTGGCATTCATTTACACACGCTTGTTAGGTAGGGGATTCTCTGTTTTCCTTCTGTCGCTCTTGCCTTCAGTATGTCTCCAAGACCTATTTAGAAATATGTGCCCTTTCTGTTTCTATTTTCCTTAAAATTTCCTGATTTCTCACATGTTCTTTACATATTATTCTCAGCATCCTTCTGTAGAACTACATCTCTTGGCTTACGGCCGCATCAAGATGAAACACCGGTTCCCGTGAGATCACCGAAGTTAAGAAACGTTCAGTACCTAGATGGGCGACCACTTGGGAATACGAGGTGCTGTAAGCTTGGATGTGCAGGTGGTGGAATGGATAATGACACGAAATTAGTTAATCGATAGCCGAGTTCCAATTCCAGTTGGGTTCGTTATATTCACTTACGGTCAAATACATTCGGAAAAGGTAAGAATCCACTTCTATCCCCCACCAGCTATGAGTTAATTAGTAAGACTTGTATCGATGAAGTCAGTATTATCTAAAAAAAAAAAAAAAAAGAATGCGTACAAAATATTTAGACTTCGACATTAAATAACCCTTAGAGGTTGATATACCTCTTAACAAAAACAACCAACCAATCGTTGTCTAACACGTCTTACTTACCTGAGGATATTATGCAGCATTCACAGGCTTTGAGGATGACTGATATTGCATAGCAGTACAGACTCTGTTATAGAGTAGTTTCACAGTGGAGGCTTGTATTTCACTAAGTCGGTCCTAAAAAGTTTCGACGTACAATAACGTTAGGAACTTGTTATAATAGTTAATGACGCAGCAATCTAGTTGTGGTGGTTGATACTTTAATGTCCGACATCGACTGACTCACCAACTCTCTGAGAGTATTTACTCACCCCACCCACGAGGGCATCATGTGGCACAAGGCCGGTTTAACATGGGATATCCGAGCCCGTGGGCTCGGCCAAAAATATTCCCTTTGACCCGTATAAACGGGTTCAGGGTCGGTTTACCTCCCCGAAAGAGAATCCGCCCTTCGGCGTAGCCTCATTCGGGTTCCTCCCCGCCCGAAGGCAGAGAGTTCAATCGGTCAGCTGGTCGTCCGACTCCAGAGTGAACTCAGACCAACTCACTGAGCTTCCTGGCGACTGCTACTACTCCTACTACTTATTATAGGTGGGAGAGTCTATTAACAATAGAATAGGTATGTTCCAGTATAACAGACTCTTTTCGATTCTAACGGCACTTCATGCTTCTCAATATCATGTCTGATTTTTCGAATTCATTTTCCCCTATTCCAATGCTCCTTCGGATTTTTGTTTCATTTTCACTCCGTCTGTTAAAACACATCCCAGAAAAATTTAGTTTCGGTATTTGTTTGATGTTAACCTCTCCAATTTGTAGCGATCACCGTGGGCTGTTCTTCTTGGTGAGAATCGTACATGCTGTCTTCTTAAAATTGATAGTTTCCTTTTCCCGCCTTTCTCTACTAGCTTGTCTCGGAGTTCCTGCCATTTCCTCTTTTCTGCCATCTGCGTACCACGGCTTACGGCCATATCACGTTGAAATACCAGTTCTTGTCCAGTCACCGAACTTAAAAAAACATTGAAACTGGTCAGTATCTACATGGGTGACCGTTCGGGAATACCGGGTGCTGTAAGCTTGGATGTGCAGGCGGTGTAATGGATATAGGTTCAGAATGAGAAATCGGAGAATCGAGTTCATATTCCCGAACATCATTATTATATTTTTAAAAAATCTTATAATCTGAAAATATGTTTTGACTTTAAATAAACTTAAAAAGGTTGGTAAGCCGTAAAAACCAAAGCAATCTGCGTATGATGAAGTTGTTAAGATTGTAACAACTGATAATAAATCCTGGTAGGACTTCTAGTTATTGTATAGGGCAAATAAATCAAGCGAGAAGGACGTATTCTTGTTTAAACTTCTTTCTATTTTTGTGCATTTCATTTTCTATCTTTCGACAGACCGTTTGCTTCCAGTATATATTCTGGATTATTCTAGCATATTTTCCAAAATAGATCTGGTTTTCCTGGCAGTTCAGATATATCCTTGTGTTGAACTTTCATATTCCTACAGCGGTAATTAGATCATATACGTAAACTTAAGTAAGTATTTATTTTGATAAACAAGTGAAAAATCGTGAAAAAAATGGAGGAAAATTGTGGCGCATTTATGATCTCGTCTCGTTCGATCTTGACTGCAATCAGAATTGTTTGCTTTCGAAAAACACGAAGAGAGAAGACAGAAAAGGAAATGAAAATATTTAGAAATCACAGAATGGATAAATAAGTGGAGATGTTTCAATAGCCTAAGTAATTTTGTGGACGAGAAGAAAGCAATCCCTTGTGGAAAACTTGGTGCCTACATAAATAGAAGACATCATTTCAATATTTTGAGGGAAATGCAGTTAATGATAACAAACATACACACTGATTAATATACTCCCCTCTCACATTTATAGGGATATTGATCCGTTAATGTATATTGAGACTAGAGATAAGATTATTGTAATATATATATACAGTGTAACCCGGATATAAGAGAGTTCTCGGGACCGGAGAAGAAGTCTCTTATATCCGGGTTTGGTCTATTTTATATACATTAACACAGGCTCTAATTTGGGACCAGAGAAAATCTCTCTTATATCCGGGTCTCTTATATCCGGTTTACATATATATATATATATATATATATATATATATATATATATATATATATATAATTACAAATACAACTCATAGTTTACCCAATAATTGGGTGCAAAAAGTTATTAACTGTTTAATACGCTTGTTTTTTTTTAAATTCTGTGTCTCATAGGAAAAACGCTACATTGTATGTGGATTCAAAGTTCAAGATTATTATAAAGATAATAGGGTATTGTAGTATATATATATATATATATTTATTAAAGACATTTTTATGTTTAACGTTGTTATTTATAGATACAAGTATTTAAGCAAATGCTCTGTTTATGACAAACAGTATTAAATAACATTTACCGGCCTGAATGTCCGAGAAATTTTCATAGAAAATATTCGTTCTTTGACAGGATTCGAACCTGCATCCTATACGGAACAGTCATATACGCTGACGTGCCTTTTACCGCTCGGCCACAAAGAACCTTACGGTAGACAAGATCGAATTTACTGTTTATAAACTTCAATCTTCCATGAATCTCGTACATTCATAACTGCTCTGGCGTATCGAATGTAAACAAATGACGTCATATGTTAAGAAATGGACAAGGTCCGACAATTTATTTATTAATGACATTTTTATGTTTAACGTTGTTATTTTATAGATACAAGTATTTAAGCAAATGCTCTGTTTATGATAAACAGTATTAAATAACATTTACCGGCCTTAATGTCCGAGAAATTTCATAGAAAATATTCGTTCTTTGACAGGATTCGAACCTATATCCTATACGGAACCGTCATACGCTGACGCCACCGCTCGGCCACAAAGAACATTACGGTAGACAAGGTCGAATTTACTGTTTATAAACTTTGTGGCCGAGCGGTCAAGGCACGTCAGCGTATATGACGGTTCCGTATAGGATGCAGGTTCGAATCCTGTCAAAGAACGAATATTTTCTATGAAAATTTCTCGGACATTCAGGCCGGTAAATGTTATTTAATACTGTTTATCATAAACAGAGCATTTGCTTAAATACTTTTATCTATAAATAACAACGTTAAACATAAAAAAATGTCTTTAATAAATAAATTGTCGGACCTTGTCCATTTCTTAATGACGTCATATATATATATATATATATATATATATATATATATATATATATATATATATATATATATATATATATATATATATATATATATAGTCAATTAAAAAGTGAAAAATTGCATTTACATATATTATTTATACACTTTTCAGGGTAGTATTAAGTTGATGTACGGTGATATAGTGAGTGAGGAGAGAAACGGTAAGAGACATGGTCGAAATTAGTTGGGAATGATTTTAAATTTATTTTTATTACAATACTCAGTATCATAATAAAAATAAATTTAAAATCCTTCCTATCTCTCCCTTCCATCTCTAATTTCGACCATATTTGTCACCGTTTCTCTCCTCATTCTCTATATCACCTTACATCAACTTAATACTACCCATGAAAAGTATATATATATATATATATATATATATATATATATATATATTAAATTTTAAATTCAGTTTTTCATTTTTTTCACTCTTGGAAGTGTGGTGTGATGAGCCAGGTAAAAAGAAATTCCATGGGGAAAATAGATTATAACCAATGGACCCTTAAACTTGTCTGTTTTAATTGAATTAATCGCTCTGATTTAACATTGAGCTCTCTGGATTTCATCCTCCTCGGGATTATCCATACGGATTATCAAGATTTTCATTACACACACACACACACACACACACACACACACATATATATATATATATATATATATATATATATATAGTATTGGGTATATTTCCAAATATGGTGTTGATAGCTAGAAAAAAAGTAAACTAAAGTATAAACAGTAATTTTGAGATATGATATATCTATATCTATATATCTATCTATATCTATCTATCTATCTATCTATCTATCTATATATATATATATATATATATATATATATATATATATATATATATATGTCTATATATATGTGTGTGTGTGTTTGTGTGTGTGTGTGTTTGTGTGTGTTTGTGTGTGTATGTGTGTGTGTGTGTGTGTGTGCCTTCCACCCGACTCAAGCAAGACCATAATGCCACTAAAACGCAAAGACTTACTGAGGGCGAAAGGAAATGAGAAAACTTTAGGGAGGAAAAAGAACAATAAAAGTTCAGATTTCAGGAAGACAGAGTATTGCGATTGAAGTTGCTTTTAAATTTTTGAATATTATGAGTCGCAAGGAAACAACAAACCGGAATAGAGTTCCATAAGCGAGAAGTACGAGAAAAGAAATTATTAGAATAGAAATCACGTTTACATCTATTTCAACAGTCAAACGATAAGACCTAGTTTCCAATGAATTAGTTGTTCAATAGGGTTGTGTTTTTTTTTTAAATTGTGTATCTCATGGGAACAATGTTACACTATATGCGGATTCAAAGTTCAAGATTATTCTAAATATAATATACAATTGTGATATTAATTCAGAATATAGAGTGTTGACAGGAAGATATCGAAATTATAATCTACGGTATTTAACAAGTTTAATAGAAATATTAGAAGTTTAAATATTTGGGAAGCGTTTTGACAGAGGAAAAACACTGAGATCCATAGACGTATTGGGGTGGCCAAGGACGCATTCCAAAAACTGGGGAGAGTATTGCGAGACAAGAGGATTTCTTTGGTAACAAAGAAAAAGAGTACTGAGCTGTTACGTGACATCTGTCCTCCTTTACGGCAGCGAATATTGGACGGTCTCCTCAAAGATGAAGAAGAAACTCGAGGCGACGGAGATGTGGTTCTACAGAAGGATGCTGAGGATACCATGAACCGAGCGTGTGAGCGACGATGAGGTCTTAGAGAGGATACAAACAAGGAGGTGGCTTATACTTAACATCAGGAAGAGACAGCCGAAGTTTCTGGGACACGTAATTAGGAAGGAGGGCCTGGAGAATCTGATACTCACAGGTCGTATAGAGGGAAAGAGAGACAAGGGAAAACAACGCATGACATACCTGGCGGACTTAAGCAAGTGGATGACGGAACGTTGTCTGGGGAAGGTAGCAGAGGTAAGGAACTTGTTGAGAGCTACAATCTGTAGTGGAGAGCCATGATCACTTACGTCCTGAAAAGACATGGCACATAAAAAAAAAAGAATAGGGATATTGATCCGTTAATGTATATTGAGACTACAGATAAGATTATTGTAATATGGATGATCATTTCTCATTATTTAGCTCATTCCTACATCTATCTATCTATCTATCTATCTATCTATCTATCTATCTATCTATCTATCTATCCATCTATCTATCTATCTCTCTCTCTCTCTCTCTCTATATATATATAT